AAGCTTCTTCATCCTTGGAGGACGGCGATGCTATGGGGATCATTTAGGGATAAAATTACTTAACCGCTGCAAGTGCCGCAGGAATGTGTGAGGTGGAGGGGAATCTCTGGTGGGGCTGCTGTCATGGAGTCTGTTTGCGTTTTCCTTTCCTGTGTTTCCAGCTCACACCTGCTGCCCCAGGGCCTGGCCATGATGCTTGTAGCACATGAGGCAGGCGTGTGTGGAGACACCATGCCCTTGAACAGGCTCTGGCTTACAGCTGCCGGAGGATCACATTCTTTTACACACACATCATCACAGACCGGAGGCTCTTTCTGCAGCCTGTCCCCAGACTTCAGGGTCCTGAATCGAAGAAGCCTGGCAGTGAGACGGGAGAGGGCAGTCTCTCTTCTAGCTATGGTAGCCGCCTCCAAGGCTTAACCACCCCCATTTGTGATTCTGGTCAGATGCTTGGGCATGTGTGGGGAAGCTGGGATCCTGACCTTCAGGACGTAATGAGGACAGCTTAACAATCTGAGAGCTCTTCCTGGGTTGTATAAAGTTTTTTCTGCATACTCACCAGCTGAAGCAGAATGGGGAAAGAATGGCATTGAGGAGTGGGTTGACCGAGAAGCTTGATGCTCACATGTAGTGAGAAAAACTCTGCCCTAATTCTAAGTGCAGCTCTAACTTTGCAGCCAGTCTCCTGTGGATTACCCAGGCCATTGTGTTGTTTCTACTCACATTCTTATAATTCTCTCACACTGCCATTGACATGGACTGACTTTTTCCTCTGCACACTGCAAGGTCTGAGATTGCTCTCCGACAGCAGGCCTCCAGTAGGAGTGGGTAAGCTTCTAGCCACAGTGGAGGAATGCCACTCGAGAAGCCCCTTGGTATCCATGACTGTATCAAGTACACTTACGCCTTGGCATCAGGAAGGTGTAGTCCTGACAGGAGCCTATCATTTATATGCCAATCTTGCAGTGCTTATAAACGTCAGAGTGTTTGGAAGGGCCTGGGGAGATGGGGGGGGAGTGAATGCAGATATGAGGCCGCTGGGGTTAAGAAGATTCTAGAAGGCTCACTCTCATAAGCTCGCCACGTACCTTTCAGGAATGGATCGATAGAAACCAAGGTGATATGTCACAAAGTAGTAGCAACCAGAGACTGGTACCCAAGCATTCTCCTTGTAAATCACGTTTCTTGAGGGACAGAAACTGTATCTTATTCGTTTCAACATCCCCAGTGTGCAGAATAGCTCCTGGCACAAAACCAGCACAGAACTCTTTGATGAGATGAAGCACTGCCACAAGCTGTAACGTGGATGAACCTTGAAAACATTATGCAAGTGAAAGAAACCAATCACAAAGGACCGCATATTATACAATTCTATTTTCTTGAAATATCCAGTGAGTAAATCTATGAAGACAGAAAGTAGATTAGTGGACGTGCAGGGCTGGGGAGGATGGGGGACTTGAGAGTAATGCTAAGGGGTGCCGGATTTCTTTTTGGAATAATGAAAATGTTCTAAAATTGACTGTGATGATGGATGCGCCACCTAGGAATATACTAAAAGCCACTGAAATCTACACTTTCCTTTTTATTTTATTTTTTTGAGTTGGAGTCTCATTCTGTTGCCCAGACTGGAGTGCAGTGTGGCACACTCATGGTCACCTCAGCCTCGATCAGCTAATTTTTGATTTATTGTAAGCTGGTCTCAAACCCCTGAGCTCAGGAAATCCACTCACCTTGGCCTCCCAAAGTGCTGGAATTACAGGCTGAGCCACCGAGCCCAGTCAAACTCAGCATTCTTTTTTTTTTGTTTTTTTTTTTTGAGTTGGAGTCTCACTCTGTCACCCAGACTGGAGTGCAGTGGCCACTCCCGGCCACCGCAGCCTCGACCTGCTGGGTTCCAGTGATTCTTTCGCCTCAGCCTTCCAAGTAGCCGGAACTACAGGCGCGTGCTACCATGCCCAGCTAATTTTTTTTGGATTTATTGTAGAGATGAGGTCTCACCAAGTTGCCCAGGCAGGTCTCGAACCCGCAGGCTCAGGCAATCCACTCACCTCAGCCTCTCAAAGCGCGGGATTACAGGCTGAGCCGCCAAGCCTGGCTCAAATTCAGCAATCTTAAAGACTAAACTTAAGTAGGAAGGTTGGCTATCACTCTAACTAGGGAAATTCTAAAGAAAAGGAGCCAAAAGTGTGAGTGCATATGCCCCAGGAGGGCAGTAGGATCGCTACCAACCCTGTCTGCTACTGAATCACTATCACTTTGCATAGTACCTAAATACACACTAGACCCTCCATAAATGTCTGTGGAATGAGGGAATGCATGAACAAAGGAACAACTGAATATTCCTGCCTAGCATTTTAAATGATTCTAACAGTGCCTGGTTCTAAGCAGCTCTAAGAACAAGAATCAGCAATTCTATCCTATATTCATTGGTTTATTCATCAAATACTTCTTTAACAGCTTTCTGGGATACAATTCACATACCATACACTTCACCTATTGAAAGTGTAAAATTCGGCCCGGTGCAGTGCCTCAAACCTGTAATCCTAGCACTCTGGGAGGCCTGAGGCAAGAGGATTGCCTGAGCTCAGGGGTTCAAGACAAGCCTGAGCAAAAAATAAGCCAGGCATGGTAGGCTGTGCCTGTAGTTCTGGCTACTTGGAAGGCTAAGGCAGAAGGATTGCCAGAGCCCAGCAGGTAGAGGCTGTGGTGGCCGTGAGTGTGCCACCACGGCACTCCAGCCTGGGTAATGGAGTGAGATTCTGACTCACTGAGTTTTTGCCAAAAAATGCTGAGTTTTTGCCAAAAAATATTTTGGGGCTGAATCTTCTTTAAAATGATCTAAATGTGAAGCTAACTCCACTTGGCTGCTTTTAAATTACAAGAGTAATCTCCCATGCTTTTTTTCAGCTAAGAAAAAAAAATTTCTAATCTCCTCTGGATAGCAGATAAGCTAAAACTATAAAACCTGAACTACAGCTTTGTAGTGGCCAGTTGCCATTGGGAAAGATAAGCATCTGTTGAATAATGAGGGGGAAAAACCTACACAGTTGTGGGTGTGTGATCACTGAACAGGTTTCGCACCTGATCAGCAAAATTATTCATGAGCCGTGAACTGCGAAACATCCTCTTCCCGAGTGAGGCTGTGTCCGCTGCTGGTGGCAGGAGATTCCCCACCTTCCAGGTCAGTAGAGGAGGTGGTTGGATCATTTCAAAGGAGCGAGGTGATTCCTGGTGCGGCAGGGCAAGGCCACCACACAGACGTGATGCCAAGCAGGACGGACACAGGGAGACTCTCGGTTGTCTCATGCTCCTGCCTCCTTGCTCTGGATTCAAGTGACCTCAGGCTCAGCAGGCCTCTGCTACTTATAAGCTCTCAGGAAATTTGGGTGACAGAGATCACCTCCTCGAGCCTCAGTTTCCTCTTCAGTGACGTGGGCAGTAGCAGTCCTCCAGGCCCAACTCAACTCTCTTCATCACTGCCGATTCTTGTCCCCTCTTTTTCTCAGAATATCCTCGTGTGTGTGTGTGTGTGTGTGTGTGTGTGTGTGTGTGTGTGTGTGTGTGGTGAGTTTTGTTTTTTGAGGTTTTTTTTGTTCTTTCTCACTACTCCCAACCACCCTCCAACTCTCTTCAGACCCCAAGATTCCCCAGAGAAACCACAAAGAATCATTGTAAGGGGAAGTAACAGTTTTTATAAGAATTAAGTGAGATCACCTCTTATCAACAAGGGTGCCTGAACGAAGCATATTTGTATACCTAACCCTTAACTGTAAAATATTGATTATATAAAAAAAAAAGAATTAAGTGAGATAATTAAGGTCAATAAATTTAAATGGGACAGTGAAGGAAAATGCATCCACTATGATGTAGGGAAGCTGTGAATTCTTCAGAAAAACGAGATCTTTTGCAACCCTGCCCTAGGTTCTGTGTTAAACAAGTAAAAGTCAACTGAGGCATAGCCCAATGAAATCATGTGATTAAAAAATGTGAGTGCCAGTGAAACCAAACACAGAAATTCGTGGCTTCTAGCAATTTCTGCCAAGTCCTAGTGCTGGGGTCATCTTGAAAACCGTTTTTTAGTGTGAATAACACAATGTGCCCTTCCCTCAATGGGCACTTTATCCCCTTCTAGTCTCCAACCTCAATCCTCTTCATCACAAGTCACTGCCAACCCTTTCCCCCTCTTTAACCCTTTCCTCTTTTCTCAGAATATCCTCTAGGGGTGTGTGTGTGTGTGTGTGTGTGTGTGTGTGTGTGTGTGTGTGTGTGTGTGTGTGTGTGTGTGTGTGTGTGTGTGTTTTGGTTGTTTTTTTGTTTGCCTCTTCCTCTCATCCTCCAGCTCTGTTTCAGACCCCAAGGCTCCACACAGACACCGTCAAGGATCATTTGGCTTCCCTTTGAAAATGCAAAGTATCAATATCTGTCTGGGGACGGGGGACATCCCTTATCAACAAGGGTGCCTGAACAATGCATATCTGTATACTTAACCCTTAATTGTCCCCCACAATTTTAAAATAAAAAATATATTTAAAAAAAAGAAAAGAAAATGCAGAGTATTATGCTTTGGGGCAAATCCCAAATAGACCCCTCTCCAAATGCCAGCTTCTTCCCTAATTTTTGTCATTTGTGTACATCTCAGGTTTCTTTTTTGAGTCAGAGTCTCACTCCATTGCCCAGACTGGAATGCAGCGGCACACTCATGGCCACCCCAGTGTCGACCTGCTGGGCTCTGGCGATCCTTCTGCCTCAGCCTTCCAAATAGCCGCAACTATAGGTGCATGCTCCCACGCCCAGCTAATTTTTGATTCATTGTAGAGATGAGGTCTCACCAAGTTGCCTGAATTGGTCTCAAACCTGCGGGCTCAGGCAATCCATTCACCTCGGCCTCCCAAAGTCCTGGGATTACAGGCTGAGCCACCGAGCCCGGCCCATCTCAGGTTTCTTTCAGAAGCAGTGGCCCACAGAGAGCCAAGCTTATTTTAAGGGTTCAGGACACGTACCTGGCTGCCTTCTGAGTGAGCTCCAGTGGGAAGTCAGGGCACAGCAACTGCAGCAAACAGTGATATTCTTTCATGGTCAGCAGATCTGAAGTAGAAATGGGGAGAAACACGTTAGGTCTGTGCATTTCAAGTTGCTGTTATCTTTTTGGCTATTTCATGGGCTTCAGACCTACTCTTGGTAGAGCCACTCTTTTAAATGTGAATCGGTGTTAAGGGTATGCTGGCCGCTAACCTCCAGGGGTGACATTTTAAGATCAATATTTCCACAAAGCTTTTCCTGGGTGGGAGGCACCCAGTTACAACATTCTGACCAAAAGAGCTTTGCTGGTGTGATGGTCAAGTGAAAAGAGGAAACAAGAGAGGTACTTTATATCAGCTTTCTTAGTTTGGTTTTCCTTGTACATAAAAATCTGGAAGAACAAATCATTTCAAAGCTAGTTAAGTTTGCTGAATTCTCTTTGGCTTGCTAACATTCACCACCACATGACCAAATACCATGCACAGAATATCTTGAAGCACCACTGAGGCAAACAGCCTTGCAGTGTATGAAAGAGAAGAATACAGTATAGAAACCCACAGACCTTATTACTCTGTCATCCAGCATTGCAGCAGGCTGGCTTATCTTGGATGCCTACACACAAATCTGGCTATCCTATTACCGGAAGCCAAGATAAAGGTCCAAGATACACAATCAAGGCAACCAAATGAATCCTAAGATACAGAAGCAGTGCTTTGGGAGAGACAAACCAGGGTTAGGCTCTGTGGTCCGGCAGAGAACCCAGAGAAACACATCTTAAAGAGGTGTATGAGATCTCAAGGGAGAAGAAATACACTGATGCTTTCAATGTTTTGTTACAGTGGGAATCAGGGCACAGCAACTGCAGCAGTGATATTCTTGCATGGTCAGCAGATCTGAAGTAGAAATGGGGAGGAACACATTAGGAACATGTTTTGTTACTGCATGTACCGAAGCCGAAATGTTTGAGATCAGCCAGGGATCTGTAAGTATCACCATATACCAAAGCGTTTCACGTATGGAAGGACGTGGTAACACCAGAGCAAAAGCAACCCACCCAGAAGCCAGCCTGCTGGGAGGAGGAGGCGCAAGAGGAGGGAATCCAGAGGGCATGGCTGCATTTGGGAATGAAGATGATGATCGCAGGCACTTGGTTTCTTTGGACCTAAGTTAGCCCAAGCCACAGGCATCCAGATCTCTTGCCCCTGCTAGCTCGGTTGATGCTTTGCCAAGACAAAACCCCCAAATCGCTAGGGTTAGGCCTAGGTTCCTACTACTTTTTCATCAAGGCTCACTTCAAGGTGGGGGCAGAGAGTTTGACTAACCACACTGCCAAAGTCAGGGACACCACAGGCACAGACTCAGGCTCAGTGTAGGTCAAAGGATCAAGATGGCTTCTGTGGCCTTCGTCTTGGCCACAGTGGGGTGTGCTCCTTCCTCTCCTCTCTGGCCTGACCTCGGGCACAGCCTGGCAGGAGATCTTGTTCTTCAAGGGAGGAGTAATAGCCACTCATGGTCTCCAGACTTGGGGTGAGGAACAAGACAGGCAAAGGGAAGGGAGAAAAGCCACCGAGTCTCATGCACTCCCACTTTATTCTTATTACAGGGTTCCCTGTAGAGAGAGGAGTGATTTCTGCCAGGCAGTGAATAAAGGAAAGTTCTATCTTTGAATCATCAGTGTTTTTCTTGGCTAAACTTTGGTGAATATATCTGACAGCATCTTAGAAGAGTCGCATTGTTTCACAGGAATTCACATTTGTCCCCTAAATTACCTACAAAATATCCTTGGGAAGATGAAGAGGGGGAAGGAAAATGAGAAGTCTAGAGAGAGAAAGAGAGATATTTAATTAAGAAGGACAATGCGAGAAATTAGTGTTAGCCTCCTGATTTCCAGACCTTAGCCCTCTCTGGGTTCTTGATGATGTTCCAACCAATGTTGGACTTCAAATACTTGCTTCCCAAGGACAGATAAATGATTTACAAAAATCACTCTGTACTTCTCAAATGCAACAAATGTTCTCGAAAATACTAAAGGCAGGCTGGGCGTGGTGGCTCAAGTCTGTAATCCCAGCACTTTGGGAGGCTAAGAGGATTGCCTGAACCCATGGGTTCGAGACCAGCCTGGGTAACTTGGCGAGATCTCATCTCTACAATGAATCAAAAAATTAGCCAGGTGTGGTAGCACATGCCTGTAGCTCCGGCTACTTAAAAGGCTGAGACAGAAGGACTGCCTGAGCCCAGCGGGTCGACACTGGGGTGACCATGCGCATGCCACTGTACTCCAGCCTGGGCGACAGAGTGAGACTTCAACTCAAAAAAAAAAAATACTAAAGGCAGAATACAACCTGCTCACCACTTCTGAAACTTGACTCTCCTAAATGTTAGTTGAGGAAGACAGATAAAGAGAGTAATGAAAATGCAAGCATATCAACTTATTTTAATTGTGGGAAAGGAGTTCTATTTCTTTTTTTTAGTGATGGTTTTTTTTTTTTCTGAGTTGGAGTCTCACTCTGTTGCCCAGACTGGAGTGCAGTGGCCGC